GAAATGTCGATGCACAGCCCAGGGGAGTTTCCCTGTTGGAAATGCCGGTGCGCAGCCCATGGGACCAGCTCCGAAACGATTTCAAAACCACTTTTAGAAAACCCATCGTGGTACCTCCACTGGTGCGCAATGGCCCAAGACTGGCCTATTTGAATGCCCATCTCCTCGAGCCAAGCTGTCACAGCAGCATCAGCTCAAGTGCTTGTGCCAGGTCACCCTGCCCCTTTGCACTGCAGGGGCTCATGCCGTTTACAGTGACCCTTGTTGGGATTCCTGCTAAAAGCCTCAACGCCAAGTTCACTGCACCTCCCTTTTTTATTTTTTTTAATTCAATGAGCAGCCAAAACCATCATGCTCTCCTCCATATCTGGGGGAGAGGAAGGGGCTGGAGGTGTTAAACATAAATAATAGGACTGGGCTTCCTGCACTATAAAACCAGGCAACGTGTCTCTGCCAATATAAAGAGTGGATTTTAAGAAGTCCCTGGAGTTTCTTTTACTACTTTTTCAGATGCTCAGGCTGAAGAGAAAGGTCTATTAACCAACTAGTTCCAGCCTGGATGTGATAGCTGCATCAATGCAAGCCACAGACAAAGCATTTTGTGCTTTGAGCACTAAATCGGTACCTCTTGCCAGTCCTCTCAATACCCGCTTGGTTAGTGCCTGCTTTGTAAGGGACTCCATAGTATGTGCACAATATTCCCCGCTGGCACGCTAATCCTCTTGCCATTCCAGCGCTGCGGTATGTCAGCGTACCCCTCGGTCCGGGAAGCAGGGTGGCCTCTCTGTATTTGCAGACATGCTCGTAACAGCTGAAACCCAGGCTGCAGAACAAATGGCAAGGAACAGCCTAGCCTATGGCTGCTTGGGGCAAGGCAGATGCAGAATGGATTACAGGAACACGTGTTTTCTCTCCTGCCTCAGACTGCTGCGGGCTGTGACCGACACCTGATGTCTCGAGGGAGACTAACCCCTGCTCCCCAGCAAAGCACCCATCCGCACGTGCTTTGTAAAGGAACGTATTTGCACGATCCCTGCGGCGATTAGCTCATGCGGAGGCGCAGAAGGCTGAACCCTCCGGTTATCTGTTTATACAAGTGCACGTTTTATTAAGGGTGGTAACGCTATCCAGCCGCAGCGTCTGAGTCATTTGCCTGCAGTAATGAGCTGACCCTTTCTATACAACATACCCTTATCGGTCCTTTTACTGAGGGTGTTTCATCCCCTGTCACAAGCACCTGTGTTAAATGCAGCACAGGACAATCCCGTCCATGGTATCTTAAATCAAGAGATAAAGGCTCCTGTGCTGTTGCTTTGTGCTCTCTCTCTCGCATGGCCTTTACTCTCCTGTCTCCCTTTCAAAGCCCCGGTGGGAAGATCTGCCATTGAGTCATCCTGCTCAGGCGACTGCTTCCCACGTTCTCATAGCTGATGGGCCGGAGCTATTTTTCCCCCCCCTCCTTTTTTTGTACCGTCAGGGATTTTTTAAGAGCTCTGTAAAGAGCTCCTGCTTTCACCACTGTGGCTTTCGAGTGACAAACCTTGAGCTCTCGTGAAACGCAAGCGGCTGAAGCATGCAAGACCGGCTGCAGGATTCCTACGCTAGGCGCCCACACTCTCTGTACTCAAATGGATTGCAGTCCACTTGGACTGGACACAGGTACCAAGCCACTGAGATTAAACATGCCATCTAATCCTAAATGGCTTGCCTATTTAGCCATCTCAGGTCAAGCTGTCTCCTTTAAAGCTTGCCTTCTAAACAATATATTTTTACTGCCATAGCCATGTGAACATTAGTTGAAACAGCTTTACTTTCTGGGAACAGCTACATCATGATCCTGCTTTTTGTGGTTTTGCAGAGAACAAAGCCCCTCCCCCACCGTGGGGTTTTTTTGTTTTTTTTTTAAATGATATACTTAATTTCTGGAAAATAAAATGCTGCTGCACCAGCGATTCCTAGGTCACGCCGATTCTGCTGTAGAAGAGCAGACGGAGAACATTTCATGTGCGCTGGCATAAAACCAGATTCCTAATAAGGTACTGGAGTCACCCTGGGCCATGGGATAACAGGCTCTGGAAGTATGGTTATAAGCAAGGATCCTGGTTTTCTCTAGTTTAAAAAAAAACCCCAATTTTCAAATTAAAAAGGGTAATCCCAAATCCACATTTTTCCATGATTAAAAGGAAACGCCACTCATATCTATATTTAAAAACAGGAGTTACTCCCTGAATGGAGATCTCATGAATGTACTTGCAGTACTGCCAGTGCTGAATAGATAGATAGATAGATAGATAGATAGATAGATAGATAGATAGATAGATAGATAGATAGATAGATAGATAGATAGATAGATAGATAGATAGATAGATAAAAAAGGAAATTATCTATCTATCTATCTATCTATCAGCACTGGCAGTACTGCAAGTACATTCATGAGATCTCCATTCAGGGAGTAACCCCTGTCTCTAGATATAGATATGAGTGGCGTTTCCTTTTAATCATGGAAAAATGTGGATTTGGGGTTATGTTTTTATATCTCAAAATTGTGGATTTTTTTAAAATCAGCAACAACCAGGATCCCTGGTGATAAGCACACTGTGCTGCAATGCTTACAGCACTCAGAGCAAAGCAGCTGGTTGTTATACTCCTTCTCAGTCTTTTGCTCCTACCTTGCACCCCTGTACTTGGGTCCTTTCTTGCACCTAGCGCAGGACTAGCAATGGACCTGGATGATCATCCATTCAAACAGGGGGACTCAACAACAACTATCCGGCCGCAGCTCAGGGGAACCACATTACCCAGCCTGGACCAGGTGGCTTTGCTGGCAGAATGCCGGTTCGACAGGTACAAGCGTGTATCCACGTTCAGGGCTCCCCGGGAGGGGAAAACCCCACCTTTCTGCTGGCAAAGACAACCTCTTTAAGCAACAAAAGGCTTCTGCTGCTGCGTGGCAACCAAGAGCAAGCAAGCGTAGATGTATGCACATCTTTTGGCCTCTTCAGATGCCGTTGCCTTTCCAAGGTGCACAATGTCCCTGCCAGCGCAGAGCCTGCCCTATGCTGCCAGACTTGCTGGTGGCAGAAGCAGCCTAGCATTGAGAAGGCAGAAGCAAAAGATCCCGTGACAAGGAATGGCCCTGAAAGAGAGGTGGAAGGTCTCCCAACAATGAGGACAGCAGATGACATGAGAACCAGAAGGCAATGTTGGGCAGATGAAAGAGGAGGAGGAGAAGAAAGGGCTGACCAAAGCCCAAAGGGCTCAGCAAGGGGTATGAACAGTACAAAGACTATTTGGCATGCCTGAGTCACAAATCTGCACCCTCCGGCATCTTGCCTGTGTCAACTGCAACTGGTATTACAAATTCTCTGCAAGGTCTGACCCTGGCTTTAACTACCATGCAGTCCTCAAAAGGGAAAAAGATGACAATCCTGGGGGTCAACAACTTCTCTGGATTTCCAAAGGGACATCCAATAGCTTCTGGTGAAATTTTGGGGCCAAGGGAGTTGGGCTGTGGTGTCCTCTTGCTCAGGAAGATCTGTATTTGGACTGTGGCTGCTAAGGGCAGTCCCAGTGGGGCACTTGTGGGGGTCCTCCACATGCTCTTCCCGGGTTGTAAACAGTTAGAAGATGGGATTTTCATCCCTTAGCTCTACCTGAAATGCTGTGCATGACTTTAAAAATGTCCCAATCCCTGTGGGAATCCCAGCAGCAAGAATGACTTGGGGACCGTAGTCAATAATTTTTTTCCCCTTTATTAGCTCTCTATTATTTCAGAGTGCGCAAAACTCACCCCCTTCGGCCTCCTAAGGACAGGATGGATTAAAGAATGGATAATGGAGCATGCATTTTGATAGCTCACTGGTTTGAACCAAGCCCTGGCTGGTCATGAATGAAAATCAGTAGCATCTGACAGCTGTCCGGTGGTTAATAGAAAATTATTCTGTGGCCTCCACCAAGTGCCAAGTGAGTAAATGCTCAAGATATCAAAACCCACTGGCACAACAAGCACTAACCATCACTTAGTTCGGGGGCTAGTGTTGGCTTCAAACCTGGACTAGGGATCTGGTCTTCAAGTGCTGCCATCAGGCCAAGGTGCATGGGCACGTTTGTGAGTCAAGACAGGAGAAACTAGCTATCCTGTTGCTATGCTTTCTGTTGTCAGCCCAGCCATTAGCCCCTCTTCTTTCAAATATATATATATATATACACACATACACACACACATCCAACATCCACTCTCCTTCTGCCTCGTATAAATACAAAGAGCTGCCTGCAACATTTTAAATGTTTGCAATAGTGCTTTACATTTCTATTCTCTCTCACAACCCAGGACCTCAGAAGCACTTTGTGAACATTAAATTCCCCCACAGCCATCTGAGCTGGGAACCAAAAGAAGGCCCAGAGAAGCCACGCAACTCGCCACGGCTTTGCAAGCAGAGCTGGGGGCAGAATCCAGGCTCACAAACTCTTAAGTTCATGGCCTGAAGGATGGCCTGGTAGGATGGCCAGGAATTTCTCAGGACCTAAAAAAAAGTGATCAACTGCTTGGGATAAATTCATAAAAGTTTGCATTATGCAGAAGGACTTCCCTCTCAAAGTATCACCTGTTATACACCTTCTCTAGAGGAGACTTTCAACTGGACAGTACAAAGCCGATGGGAATACCTCTTTGCCATGAATGAGCAGGTCTCTTATATGGGAGAATAGACTTAGTCCTCTTTGCACTGTTCCAAGTTTCCTACTTGCATCGACTTTTAGACAAGCTTGATGGTTCCCCAACTACTTCTATTGCTATCCCTCGTTCGGACAGCAAATAAAACTGTCTTAATTTTCGGCGCATGGTACTAGCATCTCTTTGCACAACAGACATCAGTGCTACAGTCACTGGCATTTCCCAGGTGTTCCAGCAAGTAGCCTTTATGAGCTCTGATGGGTACATCCACGTGACAGCCCAGTGTATGGGGAGGGGCGGGGGTTAATTTATCTTCAGCGTATCTTACCTTTAAAGATTCCCAAATGGGAAACTGCACCAGAGAGAAGGGAATCTGCATGGAGAAAAGGAAAAGAAAAAAAAATATTTCAGAAGCAAATTGGGTTGGCAAGCTAAATTAGGAACGCTCTGTGAACTGCAGCTTATTACATTTATAAATCTTTCCGGATTACTTTATGCACACTGTTTGTTGGAGAATGGGTTTCATGAAAGCAGGTTTTACTTGGTTTATCGCATGCCCTGCCAAGAGGTTAATGTATCGTTACCTGGGTGGCCAGGAAGAGTAATAAGTAGTATGATCTAGTACAGGAAACTTCTCGGTACGACTCGCTGCCAAAGAGGATGCACAAGGATCCTTGGATGCACCTTGGGTTATTTGACCCCAGCAGTCTTTCCTGCCCAGAGCAGGAGGGGCTGGACCCGATGATCTCACAAGGTCCCTTCCAGCCCTAAATTTCTGTGAATCTGTGAAGCAATGCACCTCTAAGGCCACAAGCACAGCCTGGGAAGGGATTGCTGGGTGACATACACTGTCACAAGAGTTTATCTGAAAGCTCAGTTCTGCTCCAAATGGGATGCATGGAAAACAGCAGTGGGGGGCTTCCACATTCATGATCTCCTGATGACTTTGGAGCAGATCAGTTTAAAGCAGAAATGACTTGAGGATACCTGCCAGCACTGTAAATCCAGCCTGGATTAAGAGGAGGGAAATCTCAGTTCTCCTCTTGCATCACCTATAGTGCTGGTGCAGAATAACATGGACCACGGACATATGGTCTCCTTACATTTCCAAATTCTTGGCTTTATGTTTTCCCCATTCCTGTATTTTTATGCTGTGCTTTTTTTTTTTTTTTGCTTGTTTGGTGGGTATTTTGCGGGGGGGGAAGTGGTACTGTGTATGTTATTTTATTAGTTTTATGAATGGCTGATATGCCCTTTGCTGTGAAAGGCACTATGCATTCAAAAATATACCATTTCCATTTCCTATCTATGTTGTAGTAGCCGCTATCAGACATCATCATAGACCAGGGCCCTATAAAGTGAGAACGGAACTCACTTTATAGGAGTCCTGTCCCAAGAGTTTCTATTTAAGTATCGGACACACGACAAAAAAGGTAAAACCCAGACAGATAGAGGAGCACAAAAAACCCACAATGTCAGTACTCCCGCGACTGATATAGTGACAAGCCCCAGTTTGTAGACGCTCCCAGCATTCAACAGGACAGGAGCAGACCTTTTAAATTGTACGCCGTGATGTATGTCAGATACGGTGTAACTCAAGTTATCAGTAGATTAGAAACATTGGTTACGTGTGCGTCTAAGTCTCATTAAATCTAAATTCAAATCTACATCTGGGAAGTCTGAATGGGTCCAAAAAAACCGTTACATTTATCCAACATCACAAGAGTTAAAGAACCGCCTGGTTCATTGTGTGGCTACTAATGATTAATAAATGAGACGAATCAGTTCATCTCCCAGGCAAAACTAAGCTTGACAGACACCTGCCACAGAAAATTTGTTATCTATTCAGGCAGGAAACGGCAGTGAGAAGAAATCAATGACACCGCTGTACATTGAGCTGACAAACTGAAATCTCAGAGGAAGTTTGTCATCTTGAACGATGAGCAGGATCCCAGGTGGCATCTCAAAGCCCTGCCAGAAAGGTCAAACACGGTTCTTGGTTATCGGGCCCCTGAAATTCTAGCGCTGCAATTCAATTTCTTGTTCGATATGGGGTGAAAAAAGTCCAGTTACTTGACAGTAACGCAGAGTAATATATTTATGAGAAGATCTATATCCCCTTGCTGCTGCATCACTGTTCAGCGGGAGTTAAAGAGCATGGTTTCTTTGCACTGCAAAATGGAAAGCAACATAACCTCCCAATAAAAGCCGCTGCCGTGCCTTCAGTTTTCTTAAAGAGAGAAAAGGAAATCCTCTATGCTCAGCTTATATCTAACCAAACAGGGCTCCCCAGCATACGCTGCCTTCAGAAGGTCTTCCCATTGCACTTGATGTGGCAAAAATATCTAGACGTTAAAGACGCTTTCCAAATAAAGCCTTCTTATCTCTATTGCCAGTCAGAAGCATTTCAAAATCACAGTGGAAACAAGTCTAAAGTTTCAGTTTGATTTTCACCATTTGGGCTGGCCGTTTACTTTCTGCATCCTACTCTCCAGAGACAGTGGAAGGAGATACAGATGTTTAATCACCACATTTCAATTCCTCGTGCACCTCACAAGATGCTGCAACATGTGGGTTTGCAAACCAGCTGGGGAGGGGTGATAACTTATCGGTCTGGTTATGCAGAGGTGTCTGTACAGCCAAGAGGCTTGCAGGACTTGGGCTGAAATCCTCATAAGTCAGGTCTTAGCTGAATTTTAAGCTTCAATTTTATTTATTTTTTAAATGCGTTACATCCTGGTCTGATCAGTTCGGCAACGCGCCCGTTAAAAAGAAATAGAGTCAGCACACCCCACACGATGACTGCATCCAGAGACATTTCTTTACATGGGGAATTCACGGAGCGATGAAAAATTGGCTATCTTTGTCACCACCCTTTTTACAGCCAGGCTACGAACCAAGGGAATAAAAGCCCTCATACCAGAGATGCTTCTCCTCCATTTGAAAGTTTATGACATTTTTTAATTTGAGTGCATGTGTTATCTTTCTTCAAAAAAACCCCCCCAAAACTTTCAGAAACAGAATAGAGAATTGAATCGCACCCCGCTGGGCAATGATATTTGTGCCTGAAAATAGGTTAAGGCAACAATGGAAATGTGGTCCACACATGTGGGAAGCGCTGGCTAGATCTACCAATCTCCCATTTGACGTCTGCATGAAGTAGACAGAGAAGACCAGTTGCCTCCTCATGCCTGGCTTGATGTGATATAACTGCCCCATTGTTTGCTCAATAAAGTTAAATCTCACACAGATTCAAAAAATAAAAATAAAAAAAATGCTCCGGGACAGCTGTGAATTATTATTCTAAAATGTTTTACAGATTAACAACACTGACAGTTTCTCTGGGCCCTGCATTCTTTAACAGCCAATATCCAATTTATTGCAACAAATGGTGCACATTTTTATTGCTGATTTTACTGTTGCTTAATTTTCCTGAGTTAGGTGGATTTACACAAATGGGATGTTTAAAGCCAGAAGTTCTAAAGGTTCACATTAAAAAAAAAAAAAAAAAATCACATGGCAAAGTCAGAGGAAAAGACAAAAATAAAATAAACCTGTTTTAAAAATCAAATTTCAAGCACTGTGGGTGTTGCCTAAAAGCTGGGAAGCATTCGGCAGGCAGTGTTTAATTAAGAGAAACGCAAGGAGGAAGTTAGAACAACGGCTGTCTGAAGGAGTCAGTGCCAACGCTGAAGTGCTGGTACTCTTCCTAGCAATAAAACGGAGTTTGTCAGCAATTTGGAACTGATCGGGCCGATGCTGTGATGCTAATTCACAACCCAATCACTTCCAGAGGGAGACTCGGCAGCCAGACAGCAGGGGTACTATGTCCAAGGTGTGGCAAAGAGAGAGTGAGAGAAGGAGAGAGGGAAGAAAAAAAGAAGAAGAAGAAAAAAAGAAGAAAAAGAAAAAAAAAGAAAAAAAAAGAAGAAAAAAAGAAGAAAAGATGGACAGACCCAGGCCCTTCAAAACTGGAATTCCCTTCAAACTGCTAGAATTCTTTCACATAAAGAGGAAACAGATGTCCACGGCTGGAATTTGCATGTGGCTTTATTCTCTTCTAGAATACAATAAAACTACTCTTCTTCAGAGCTAGAAATTAAACAGTGGCATGGCATGCACAGGCCAGCTGTGCTCTCCACCCCCAACCTTTATTAGCACACTCTATGAAAAGTTGGGTGGGGGGCAGGGGGGAGAAAGAGGCGAACTAAAAAAGCAGAAGAAATGAAAAACTATGTGGTATGCGCTCTCAAAACAACATAAACCCTACAGATGTTCACACTGATCTGCAGCACATGTTTGTTTATTCAGGTTCTCGTCCCCGTCTGATTCAGCAGGGCTTCGCTCTTCGAATGATCTGTTTTTCCAAATGATTGCGTAAAGGGCAGGACAGAAATTGGTGTCAACAGCTCACCTCGGAGAGCGTAAGAGCCTGGTCTTTTCTGAACGGGTTTGGCTTGCTCCTATGAAACCCAACTCAAAGAGTCAAGGGCTCAACTTAAAACCTCCAAGTCAGCCCCTCAAACACAGCGGTATGGGGGACATGTCAGGTCCTTGGGGAACGGCTGTGCAGAAGCAGCAGAGCTATTGCTCCCGTGGGGTTGTACGGATGCAAAATGGAGGATTCCTCCCTTCTCATCTCCCATATGAACCCCAAGAGCTCTGCCCCTGCATCAACCAGGGAATGAGCAGCAACCTCCTGAGCCGGCTATCTTCCAAAAGTGAGGTCCCGAAGCCAAGAGCTGTAAGGGCCCTGTCTTCTGTATGATGCACCACACGAGATATGATCCCACCAAGGGATTATGCACTTCTTTTATTCTGAGTCCTACCGGACTTGAATCCCAGACAAGTTTCCACTAGCCTCCAACTTGAACAGCGTTGGGGAATGTACAAGAGACGTCTAAGCATGACACTGTGGCTTGAGCTGGACAGAGGGCTGGATCAGACCCACGCTTGTCACAGGTTTGGCCCCAAACAAGAACGCAACACTGTCCTGTGCAGAAAAATTGTGAAAAAAAAAGGCCCAGAAGCAGAAAAATCTCCTGTTAAGTCCCAGGGCCTCCTAAGTCAGACTATATCTTCACTGGTAACATGGAGGTTACCAACTGGTGGGGGAGCTACTTCAGAGCCCACTTTTTCATTAATCCACTACCCTGTAGCCTATGACAAAAACTCTGATTCAGTTCATTGGGAACAGATTTAAGCCAACATTGGGAGTGTCTACACATGCATTAATGTGCTTCAGTTAATGTGCATTAAATCTAGTACCTCCAGGCACATCTACACGTGCATTAGCACGCTTTAGTGAATGCACATTAAATCTAGTACCTCCATGGTGAGGTACTAGGAAAATGTGCATAGACGTCTATACAC